CCCCCCGGTCCGTGGCTCACCCGGCCCATCTCCCTCAGCTTGGTCAGCATCACTACGATGGTGGAGTTGTTCTCCCACAGCATGCGCCAGAAGTCCTCTGTGGTTTCCGCCAGTGGCCCCTGCGTCGCAATGTAGGCCTTCTGCTGCCTGTGGTGTGGGGCGTGTGAGACCAGGGCCAGTGGGCAGATGCAGGCCCAGGCGGGGGGCCGGCCTGATGCCACCCGGTGGGTCAGGGCCCCAGCAGCCACACCTGCCACGCCCCTGCCTCCCCAGGAGTCGCCGGCCGGTGCCCCGTCCCCCTCCCCGTCTCGCCAAGCCTCCCCATAACCCTGTTTTGCACCCGGGGAAGCCACTGGCCTCAGGAAATGTTCTGGCGCCTCGAGGAGGCTGCGGAACGTCCCCTGACCTCTCCTCCCTTGCCCTCCACCCCCTCGAGGGCCAGTAAACTCCTTCTAGGCGTCTGCACGGACTAAGCTCTCGGTCACCCCCAGCCTTTGCGCAGGTGGGGCCTTCGCCGCAACACCATCCCTCAGCCAGGGGTTCTCAACCTGGGCACTGACGTTCGCGGCTGCATCGTTCTCTGTGAGGGGCACTGTGGGGTGCTGAGCAGCATCCCCGGCCTCTGCCTGCCCCCACTCCCATTATGACAAAAATGTCACCAGACACTGCCCCATTTTCCTTAGGTGGCAGAACTGCCCAGATTGAGAACCACTGATGTGAAAAGGACAGATGGAACCACGTTACAGACGGTAGCCATCCGTTAAATACACAGCTCAAGATTCCCTCCACCTCCGCCGCGACCGCGCGAGGCCGGCGGGGTGTCCAGCTCTCCTTCCCACGTGAGGCCGGGGACCGCCGGGGCAAAGCGGGGGTACCTGTAGCCATCGATGAAGCTGGCGTTGATATAGTCGGAGCCCTCCACCCCACGGATGGGCTGCAGGCAGACCCGCGTGCTCTCGTAGGGCATGATGTTTACCAGGCGGTTCTTGAACTTGTTACAAGGCAGATTGGCACTGATGAAGCGGGACGTGTGGGCTTTGGAGTTGGCCAGCCGCTGTGGGGACAGAGGAAGGCGGGGGGGGTCAAAGGCGGGAGGGCCTCCAGCGGGGGGCGGCGCGGCGACGGAGCGCGAAGGGTGGAGCGTGCGGGGGCGGGGGGACGGGGACAGCCCGGACCTCCGGCTCCTGGCCACGCCCCCAACGCCCACCGGGAGCGCCCCCCAACCTTGAACTCGAGCTCCATGCCGGTGACATGCTCGCCGGGCTCCACCTGCGCCAGCTTCTGGATGTAGGCGTAGAGACTGCGGGCGGGCACCTCCGTGGTGCCGCAGCCCACGGCCTCCAGCAGCGCCTCGTGGATGAAGCTGTACTGGTCCTCGGTCTGCACCATGTAGTTGCGCTGCGAGCGCATGAGCGTCACGTGGCCGTACACGTCCACCGTCTTCTCCGGCTTGATCCGCTCCAGCATGGCATCGATGACGATGAAGCAGCCGGTGCGGCCCACGCCGGCACTGCGGGGACGGGCACGGCGGTCAGGAAGGCCGACGGAGGCGCCGGGGCGGGAGCGGGGGGCGGCTGGGGGTACCTGCAGTGCACGACCACGGGGCCCGCGTCCGGCGGGTTACAGGTTTTCACTCTCCGCAGGAAAGCCAGGAATGGCGTCGGGTACTCGGGCACCCCGTGGTCCGGCCACGCCGTGAACTGGAACTGGCGGACCTCACGTTTCTCACTGGAGCCATTCTGGGGGCCGCAGGGACAGAGCCGGTCACGGCAGCGCTCCGTGCACGGACAGAGGATGCCAAATTCACGCCCAAGGGCCCGGCTGCCTCACGTACTCGGCGGGGCGGGGGGTTGGCGGGGGCCACAGTGTGGCCAACATCATGCCCCGACTTTCTCCCCAGATCCGCCCCCATCTCAGCTGGAGGCGGCTGCATCCCTCCAGGCGCTCTGCCCAGGACTCAGGAGTCCCCCTTGATTCACTGCCCCTCCCACATCCAACCGGCTCTGCCTTCATCTATCCCAAACCTGCCCGCTTCTCACCCCCTCCGTGGCGGCCTTCCTGGTCCAGTCCCCTCCACCCTGGAACCCCCTCCTCTGGTCCTCGCCCCAACAGTCTGCCCTCCCCACAGTGGCCACCAGAGGGCGCCGGTGAGCACCTGAGTCAGGTCTGCCCCCACCCCCACCCCCACCCCCCAACAGGGCTACCATCCACCTTAGGGTAAAAGCCCAGCCTCCCCTCCTCCCTCTCTCCCCCTCACTCACTCTGCTAAAACCATAATACAGGCCTCCTCATTGTTTCTCCATCATGCCAGGAACGGTCCTGCCCCAGGACCTTTGCACGGGCTGAGCCTCTGCCAGGAATGCTGTTTTCCCAGATCTCTTGGCTCCCTTCCTCACCATCTCCAGGTCCCCTGACATATACTTTATTTTTCTCCTTCTACGTGTAAGATTTGTCCTTTTACATATTGACTGTCAATGCCTTGTCAACTAAACTAAGCTCCAAAAGGGCAAGACATTTTGTCTGTCTTGGTCCTTGCTGTGTCTTGGTGCCCAAATCAGGGCCTGACACACGGTGGGTGTTTAGTGTTGACAGAGGACCTGGCTGGAGTCTGGGGAGCACTGTGGTGCCCGCACCCTCCCCTCCCCATGCTAACAATGAAAAAATGTTCTCCGGATGGCAAACTGCCCCAGTCGAGAACCAGTGACATAGAACACAGATGGAACCATGTAACTGACTGCAGCCATCAGTTAAACACACATCTTAAGATTCCCTCTGCCCCAGACCCGACTGCCCAGACCAGCAGGGACTCTCTAGCTTTGTCTCCCACCCATCACGGGCCTAGGCTGGGTGAGGCCAGAGGGCAAGGAGGGAGGGAAGGCCTGGGACGTAACTGATGGCAAGGGGACGACAGGCTCATTGCTACGTTAGGTTCTGCTGGTTTTGTCCTGATGTGGCTGGACACAGGAGGTCCCTCCTCTGAGCCTCAGCTTCCCCACCAGTGGGCTTCGAGAGAACGTGGTCAGCCTGGGCTCCCGATGGGGAGCTCCCAGGACAGAAGCTGGAGCCTTCTGTCTGCCTCTTCCACCCCCATCACCCCCTCCCGCAGGCCCCAGCCCAGGCCGGGCCCTACCTTGTGCAAAGAGAACGTCCGGACACAGAACGTGGCCAGCTCGATGGTGTCCAGCAGCGTGACCTGGATGAAGCCATATGTCTCCGTGCCCCTGTTGGGCCAGTACTGATCACACTTGATCTGTAGAAGGCGGGAGAATGGAAGTGAGCACGGGCTGGCGCTGGCCGGGCGCGCGGGGGCTGCAGGGTCCGGGCCCCACCCGTGATTTCTCCTCTAGCCGCGTCATCATGACGATGGTAGCCGAACGCTGTTCCCACACCATACGCCAGAAGTCGCCGAAGGTCTCTGGCAGCGGCCCCTGCGTGGCGATGTATGCATTCTGCCGCCGGTAGCCGTCCACGTAGTTGGCGTTGATGTAATCGCTGCCCACGATGCCTACAGCAGAGACAGGTGCCAGAGATCAGCGGGCGTGCCGCTGTCCCCTACACGGGTTCTATCTGGCCTACCGCTTCCTGGGAGCCCTCCCGGATTGCCCCGAGCTGCCCCCACAGGAACCATGGAGCCTGAATGTTGCGGTTTCTCTGCCCCGCACCACCGTCGCTGGGGGCCAGACTGCTCTCTGGGGTGGGGCTTCCCTGTGCACTGCAGGGTCTGAGCGGCGTCTCAGACCTCTAAATGCAGCTAGCTCCCTGTCCCCCCCGGAACGTGAACACGAAAATGCCCTCAGACATCGCCCAGCGTTCCCTGGGCACCGAGAACCACGGATGCAGAGGGACAGATGGAAATGTGTTACGGACAGCAACCATCAGTTAAACACATATCCAAAACTTCCCAGTAGCTTCTGGCTGGAGCTGGACCAGGCCTGTGCGCAGCATCTGGCCTCAGTTTCCCTAATCTCTGCCCTTGCTCGTCCGCACTGGCCCTGCCGCGTGGCCAAGTGGAGGCACGGTGTCTGTGCGCTCTCTCTGGCCTGGGGAAGGGCGGATGGGGCCTGGGCAGCTACCTTCAATGGGCTGGAGGATGACGCGCGAGTGGTCGTACGCGATGACGTTGGCATAGCGGTTCTTGGGTTTGTTCACTTCCAGGTTGGAATGTTCCCACGTGAACTGCTGGCCCGGATCAATGGACTGTAGGGGACGGTGAGGTGGGAGGCATCAGGGTGGGGCGCTGGGGGGCCAGGGTGGGGGCAGGAGGCGGGGGCTAGCTCACCTCGTACTCCTGGGAGAGCTTGAGGCTGTCATTGGCCTTGAGGCGGTCCGTGTGCTCCGCCATGTCTGCGATGGGGATCGGGGGGTGGCTGAGCATGCCTGTGGGGAGAGCAGACCCCACGGTGCGGCCGGTCACGCGGGAGCCAGCCTGGGGGCCGGGGGGCGGGGGGCGTTCTACAGTGTGAGTCTGTGATGGACGCGCTGTGGTTAGAGCGAGTGGCGGGGGAGGGGAGGGTTCAGGACGGCCCACGCTGGGGCCGGGAGCCCAGGCCTGCGGGTCTGTCTGCAGGTGGAGCGTTCGAGGAGCGGCTCCCAGCTGAGTCTGACACCCCCGGCTCGTGATGTCCGCCTATCCCAGTGCCCCCAATCCAGCTGGGGATGCAGGGACCGGGGAAGGGTCGCCCTGGAAGACTCCAAGCTCCTAGTGCCTCGTGGCAAGAAGGAGGCGGGTGACACAGAAATGAAGAAGCAGATGCGGCTGGCTGGGCCTCTGGAAACCTCGCTCCCCAGGGCACGGGCCGGTGATGGACACCCCTGTCTGACCCTCTGGGATCAGAGGGACCGCGAGGTCTGCTGCCAGGGAGCGCTGAGGCACTGGGGAGGGGAGATGGTGTGTGTGTGTGTGTGTGTGTGTGTGTGTGTGTGTGTGTGCTGGGGGGGTCCCCATCTCTCTGTGTGCCTGCATCATTTCTCCATCTGGTGCATGGGATAGTGTGGGGTGGGCCTGGCTCTTTCTCCCCAATGTCTGGGTCTGCAAGACCCGTCTCCTCTCCTGGGGCGCAGTGGGCTGAGCTACGTGCCGGCTCAGAAGTACAACATGGCCAGGCCAGCTGGTAAACACCAGCGTCCCCAGCCCCCCAGGCGCTCCCCAAGAGCCCTTACCTAAGGAGTGAAGCTGGGGTCCTGTCACGCAGGATGACCCCCCCGCACCCCCACCTACAAGCAGTCACAACCAGCGACCTAAGGGCCCAACAGACCAGAACCCCGACTCCCCTGAGAAGCCAGCGCAGGACAGGTGGACAGAGATCAGGAGGCGGGATGGAGAACCAAAGATGAAAACAAACAGGGGGTGTGGGGGGGGCGCGAAAGGAAGCCGAGAACAGAGAGACACAGGAACTAACTTTCAAAGTGAAACCCCGGCTCTCTGAGGGGGCTGCTGAGGCCCGAATCTGCAGAAACAGCAAACAATAAATAAATGAAAACACACGGGGGGCCCCTGCCTCCCCCATCCCTCACTGGATGCACGCACAATGGCCGGCCGACAGACGCAAAGGGCAGAGCGACTGCAATGGGGGACGCACGCTGCCCGGGCCCCACCCCGAGGACCTACGGGAGCTGCTGTGGATCCCTCCTACCGGACTGCACCCAGTCCTGGTTCTCAGCTGTGACTTCGGGAAGATCCCAAAGCTCTCGGCCTTTTGTCAATGTGTCCCCTCAGACCAACCTGGCCTTGGGTCCCCTGTTGGGGTCAGCAGAGGAGATTTCAGATGAGGTGCAGGAGGGTGAGGGCAAAACCTGGGGGCAGGGGAAGGACCTACGAGCCCATGCCATGAGCTTTAAGAAGGACAGCAGCTATCAGTTAAACATGGGTGTTAAAAATCATCATTTGGATGAAAATAGAACTGACACGACCTGGTCCAGAGACAGAAAAGAGAAGGGAGTACATTAGGGGTGCCATATGGGACCTTTTGTGATCCCTTATGGCAGACTGCTGCCATCAGTTACACCTGATCTTAGCCAGAAGGCTGAGAAGTGACAGGAGCCATCAGTTAAATATAAGTGACCAAAATCCTCATTTGGATAAAAACAGAACTGATGTGAGACAGTCCAGCAACAGAAAAGAGAAAGGAGTATATTAAGAACAGTACGTGAGGCCATGCACTAGCCCTTAAGGAGGACTGCAGCCATCGGTAACATACAAATGTTTAAAATCTGTTTGGTTGGAAACAATTATTATGAGACAGGAAGTAGACAGGAAGTTCAGAGACAGGAAGTAGAGACTGGATGCAGGGAGAGGGACAGACGGAACCATGCTGTGACCTCATAAGGAGAACAGCAGCCATCAGTTAAATGGAAACCTTATTTGGTTGGAAGCAGTTGGCATGAGCCCATTAAGAGGGATAAGATGAGGGAGTATGTGGATCACTATACATGAAGATGATCAAGGACAAGACCCTGGTTCATTCAGTTCTCCCTCCAGGCATGGCAGGTGACCTTAAGGGACTCGTATGAATATACAGGGAACTGTGAAGAGGCAGGCGAGCATGAGCATCTGTGGACGAGAGACATGCAGCGCACATGGGAGGCAAAATCTCTGTACCTCGCCAGGGGGACAGCCCACGGGAGTGTGGAGAAAGGCCAAGGAAAAACCCGAATGCCCACCCCTGAGCGTCCCTAAGACCAGTGGGAACCAGAAGCATAGCTCCTTCTGCTAGAAGAAAGGAGGGTTCTTTGGCTTGTTTCGTTTTTAAGGGGTTCCATTCTGCTCAGATGACCCCAACCACCAGTGAAACACAGCTTTGCAAAAGCCTCACTTGGCTGTAAACCAGAACTGGTCCATGGAATTTCTAGATCCACAGAGGGATTTGGGAATCGGGCATTTCGCTGCACCAAACCGCTCAGCAGGGGCAGATGAGGTTCCACCGAGGGGGCCGCTTCCTCGTCTCTCATGCTACCTCCCCTCCGTGGTGTTGATCCTGGCACCTGGGATACACACATACCTGGCGTCTGGAAGTTAATGCGTCTCATTTCTACAGGGTCCTTGGGGTGGTGGGGGGCGAGGTCAGCGTTGTTCAGGAGGCATTTGGTGCGGGGCTCTGAGTCCTTGCGTTTACTTTGTGGGAGCAAGCAGAAGACTCCTTGAGTACCGGCGTGTGTCCAAAGACGCACGTGTACACGCGTGAACACCGATCAGGTACCACAAGTGAGGGACCCGGCCAGGGGAAAAGGGGCCGTGTACGCGCACGGTTGGGGTTCCCGGGACCACACATGGACACGCGTGCAGCCTGCTGGCACAGCTGAGCGTCCCCTCACCCCACGGGCACGGCACCACCCTGATCCCTCTCCTCGGTCTCTTGCCTGAAGCCTCCCAAGGACGGGGCCGGTTCTTACCTGTCGGGTTTGCTGCTCCCGAAAGGAGACACAGGTTAGAAGGAGGGAAAAGAAGACAGGTGAGGGTGTGCTGGTCACAGAAAGCCTGTTCTGTGACGGCGGGTGGCTTTCTTAACCTCCCAGAGCCTTGGGCTCCTCTGGAAAATGGGGCTAATCACTTCCTGCTTGGGTCCCCACCACAAGGAAGAATGTCTCGGCCTTCCCTTTCTAAGGTGAGACGTGTCCCATGTGGCCACCACAGTTATTCTCCTTGCTAAACTGGACAGAGGTGGCCTCCACCCCAAATCATCCTGCTGAGTGGCGTGCGGACCTTGAGAGGAGTCAAGTCACTGGCCTGGTCTGTGTGACTTTGATCCAGTGGCTTAACCTCTCTGAGCCAGGGTTTTTCTATCTGTACGGCAGAGGACATCCATGGTCATCCTGTGCAACCAGCCTTCCCTGGGTCTTCCAGACCCTCCTTCCTTTTCCAGGGAGCCCTCCCTCTTGTCAAGTGGGGAGTGCAAAGGGGCTCACTTCTTGTAGAGCAAGATGGCGATAACGATGCAGATAATGAAGACCACAGCCAGCACAGGCCCGATCACCCAGATGAGCCCCTCCTCGCCATCCACGATGGGCTGCGGGTCTGGGTTATCCAGCTGGAAGGGATCTGAGAAGGGGCTGGCTGCAAATGTCTGCGGGCAACAGGACGGGAGGGGCCTCCATCAGTGTCCATCCTACTCACAGTGGCCAAAGGAGTCTTCTTCCAGCACAAACCTATGTCCCTCCCCTACTCTAAATCCTCCTATGATTCCCGAGAACCCGGACCCTGGTGCTCTGCATTGGCCTGGCCCTTTGCCAGTCTCTGCTCTCCCTACTGCTCCCTGGGCTTCAGCCACTCTGAAGTCCTTTTTGTTCCTCTCGCACGGCACCTCTAGACCTCTGCGCGTGCAAATCCTGAAGATATCTTGTCTTGGTTGAACTCCTACACAGCCACCAAAGCCCTAGGTCCCAAGTCCCTTCCTCTAAAAAGTCTTCCCCTTGGGGTATCCCCAACCTCAAGTCCTTCCCCCTGCCCAGCCCTGATCATGGGAAGCTGGCAGGATCCGTGTCTGGTTCTGAGGTCGGGGCCCCGGGGGCTGAGTCCACGTCAGGGCCTGTGCGCTCAGAGGGTGGGGCTGGACGAAGGCAGACACCATTTGGGACTTACAGGCTCGCTCTTCTGCAGCACTGCAAGCACAAAGAGGACATATCGGTGGCCAGGCTCCAAGCCCCTGTTGTCAAAGCCACCGTACTGCTTCTGGTCACCGGGGTGGAAGGTGGACGGCAACATTGAGAAGCGAGCCGCAATGTAGGGGCGGGGCGCCTCCAGCTGGCGAGAGTGCCTCAGGCTGCGCCTCTGCAGCCGTGAGATATCCTGGATGAGCTGTGGGAACAGAGGCATGGGGTGCTCAGAGGCTGGCCGGCAGCAACAGGGCTTCCAAAAATCAGGACAGGGTCTGGGCCAGGCAGGTCTGGGCCCCACCTCACCTCCTCCAGATCCATGTCTTCCGGGCTGCCCAGAGGGGTCAGGAACTGGCCACCACGAGACTTGCGCAGTGGCACCATCACAATGAAGTAGTTCCTGTAGGGAGATGAAAGGTCGGGGGCCACGTCCAAAGAATGCCTGCTGGAGGTGGGTGGGGGAGTCCCTGTGCTCTGAACCTTCCCTCTGCTTCTACGCCCCTAGAACCCAGCCATAGAGGACTATAGTTCCTGATTCAAGCCTCCAGGCTTTTGAGTATGTGGTTCCTTCTGCCTAGAGAGGCTACCCCAATTATATTTCTTGAACTCCTACACATCCTTCAAAGCCCCAGCCTCCATACCCACACATCCTTGTAGTCCTTAATTCTTCTCTGCTTCCCAGGCAGAGTCCTCTCCCCACCGGGGACTCTCAACCCTAGTGCCTCTCACTATCACACCACAGGTCTGAAAGTGTCTGTTTCCAGTTCTGTCTCCCCACCAGCCTGGGAAACCAGACCCCAAAGAAGGTCAGGTACACAGGGGTATCAGAAATGTTGGAGGAGAGGCCACATTTAGTGACGGTGCCCAAGAGAAGCATCTGGACAACCACACAGACTGGGGCTGGCGTGACCCACATTTTAGACACAGGTGAGGACGCTGAAGCACAGAGAGGTCAGGTGGCTGGCCCCAGTCACAAAGCTGGCTAATGGGGGGGGCGGGTAAGGAATCCCTGGGGGCAGTGGGGTGGTTTTGATCATACTGGACAGGCACAGGGCTCTGGCCGTCAGGCAGATACACCATGATGAAGCCGTCGGAGTCAGGCTTGGGGGCCACGCTGGGCTTGGCACTGAGCAGGTTGAAGGCGGTCCAGGCAGTAACGGTCTGCTGAAGGCCACCCAGGCTGCTGCCTCGGTTGGTCAACACGAAGTTGTAGAAGGTGTTGGGCTTGAGGTGCGTGATGAGCTTTTTGGTGGTACGGCCGTCCACGTCCAGTGTGAGCCCGTTGTACTGGATCTGCGGGCCAGGGCTGGCTCAGTGGGGGTTCTGTGCTGAGCGCCTGACCCTGAGTCTTGATCCCAGATGGAGCCGTAATCCCAGCTGAGCCCAACTCTAAGCCCAGTGTTGACTGAGCCCTAATCCCAGAATAAGCCTCAGCCCTAAGCTAACTCCTGACCCTAGACAGATCCTCAATCCCAGCTGAGGCCCAGCTCTGAGCAGGTCCCAATTCTGACTGACCCTTAATCCCAGAGTGAGCCCCAATCCTAGATGGAGGCTCAATCCCAGCTAAGTCCCAACTCTGACCAAGCCCTAATCACAGACTGAGTCCCAATCCTGACTGAGCTCTGACCTCAGCCTGGATCCTAGGCTAAATTTCCATGCTAGGCAGATCCTCAATCCCAACTGAGCCCTGACCCGACTGAGAACCAACCTTGAATGAGCCCCAATCCTTATGAACCCCTAATCTCAGACTGAGCCCTAATCCCGAACTGAGCCTCAATCCCAGGTTAAGCCTTGACTACAGCCTCAGTCTCAATCCCAGCTGAGCCCTGATCCCACTCAGCCCTGAGTCCAGCTGATTCCCAACCCCTAACCTGGCCTGCCTGCTCCCGGGGTGGGGGTGGGGGAGCGTGGGGGGCGGGGGCGCTGCACCTTGTAGGGTGTGGGTGAGTTGTAGTTGTCAGGAAACTCCCAGCTGAGCAGGACTGATGTCTTCATGATCATCTTCACCTTGAAGTTCTTGGGTGAGACTGTGCCGGGCAGCAGCCGAGTGGGAGAGAACAGAAAAGAGGACCCGTGAGTGCAAGGGGAGCGCGGGGTGGGCCGGTGGGGTGGGGTGGGGCGGCCCAGGCGCTCCCTGTCCTCCGCTGTGCCTGTGCCCATGGCCTTCCTGCCTGGCCCTGCCTGGCCCTGTCCCAGGTCCCTGCCGGGGTGGGGGGAGACGGCGCTGCTGCAGAGAGGAGGAGGAGCAGGAGGGGGGAGGGGGAGGGGGGGCGGTGGGGGCGGTGGGGCCACCTAGGCACGTCCCACCTTTGCCAACGCCGGAGCCTCGGGGTCCGGACTCGCCTCGAGTGTCCACAAGGAAGCAGAAAAGTGACCACTTACCTGGGCGGGGGAGAGGGAGGGGGCTGGGGCGGGGGTGGGCACGAGGCCCGGTCCGGCTCTGGTGCGGGGATCGCCGCGCGCCTACCTTGGTCCCGCAGGAATGTCCGGTAGCGGACGGGGGGGCTGTAGGGGCCGGGGCCCTGGCGCGTGTGGGCCCGCACTTGGAGGTCATACGCCGTGTCGGGCTTGAGGCCCTGCAGCGTGAGCACATTCTCGGCGCCCGCCTCGGCCGCCGCCGGCAGCTCGGTCTCTCGGGCGGGGCCCAAGGCTCCGGCCTCCCGCACAGCCACCGTGTACTTGACAATGGCCCCGTTGCGCTCGGCGGGCACGGGCGGCAGCCAGCGGAGCAGGACGGTGCCAGCTGAGGCATTTCCAGCTGCCTCGAGGATCTGCGGGTGGCCACGGGGAGTGTCCTCGGGGATGCTCAGGACCTCGGCCGCCTCCTCGCCCAGGCCTCCTCGGCTCCGGGCCGCCAGCCGAAACACGTACGTGGCCCCTTTATGCACACCCAGCGCTGTATAGTGGTCCTCGGTAGGTGGGAACTCCAGTGTGGCCAGGGGCGAGTCCTCACGGCCGAACTGCAGGCGGTAGCCCAGCACCTGGTCCTCGGTGGTGCTGGCTGGGGGCTCCCAGCGTGCCAGCAGGCTGCCCTCGGGGGTCTGCTGCACCGACAGGGTGGGGCGGCCCAGCACTGCGGGGAGACAGGGGGCGTGTCAGGGCCACGTGGCCCATCCAAGTCGGGCAGCAGGGGGTGGGGCTGCAATTTTTATTTTATGTATTTATTTTTTTAACGTTTTATTTATTTGAGTGAGAGAGAGAGATACAGAGAGAGCACAAAAATGGGGAGGGTCACAGGGAGAAGCAGACTCCCTGCTGAGCAGGGAAGCCCGATGCAGGGCTCGATCCCGGCACCCCAGGATCATGACCTGAGCTGAAGGCAGACGCTTAACTGACTGAGCCATCCAGGTGCCCCTGGGGCTGCAATTTTTAAAAGCGGGTCTCAGGGACGCTGAACTCCGAAGCAAAGACTTGAAGGAAGTGAGGGAGGCAGGAAGACCTGGTGGAAATGGTGTTCCAGGCAAGGAATAGCCTGTGCAAAGGCCCCGAGGTGGCACTGTGCTGGGTGAGTGGAAGGAAGAGTGAGGAGGCTGGGGACTCAGAGAACCCGATAAAGGAAAATGTTTTCAGATGCCAAAGCAGGTCCTCATACGTTTACCTCTTCTTCTTATTCATAAGTCACTCATCTGTTGTCTCACTGATTTGCCCCTTGCCTCCTGCTGGCACATGATTAATACCCATGGGATACAGGAATGTTTCAAAACCCTGCCCTTGCCCCAAGGTTCTCATGGTCTGGGTAGTAATCAATGTGCCAAGGTCCCAGTAAGTCCGGCAGGAGAGAAGCTGTACAAACAAAACCAGTCTTCTCCTCTTGCAGGACTTATCAGGACCTTTCAGGAACCGTGCTCTGAGCAGTCATAGCATATGCAGTGGGTCTGCTTGGCAAGCACGGCTGTAGTGCAGTGTCCCTGAGAGAAGAAGGAAAGATCAGGGGAGGCTTCTTGAAGGAGGTACATGGGTGCTGGACACCGAAGGATACAGAGACTAGGCAGACGGAGAGAACAGCATGGACACGGACCGGCGGCAGCATGGGGAGGGGCTGTGTCCAGCTGGCATGGAATGTCGGGCTCTGGGGCTGAGGGAGGGTCCCTGGGGAAGGGGTGGGTGCGGGATGTGAGGTGGAGGGCTCAGGACCTGTCATCCCTGAAACACCCTTGCCTGGGCTGTGCCATCTGTCCACAACACCCTCCCCTTACGTTTTCATGGCTGCCTCACCCCCTCCTCAATGTTGGCTGAGGTAAAAAACAGTCCCTTGGGACTGATGGTAGGGGCCTGGCGGGGCCAGAAAGGGAAACTGAGGCAGGGCTGCTCGGAGAAGAGGCTTCATGGTGCAGTGGGGGCGATGGGCACACCACCTCCAAACAACGCACCCAGGGTGATCAGAGCTGTGATGTGGGAAGGGGGGCGCTGGGGCTGCCCAGGAGGGAGCACTGGACCGAGACTGTGGGCAGGGGGCAGGGTGAGGAAAGGTATCCAGGCAGAAGGAACAGCCCGGGCGAAGCCGGGACGGGACGGAGGCCTAGTCATGGTTTCCATCCGGCTGGAGCTAAGCAGGCAGGGAAGCCAGTGAGGAGGAAGTTGTGGGACTGGCTGGCCTCCTGAGTGGCCCCCACGCCTCTGATCTCACTGGCCCCGCTGCCCAGTGCTCTCTCCCTGCATGAGCTCAAAAACTCCGTGGCATGCTCTGGGGGCAAAGGGCCATGGTGGGGAGGGGGGTGAGATGGGGGCGGGGGGAGGATCCTACCTGCTCCCTTGGTCACGACCACCTTGGGTTTGCTGCGAGCACCATCACCTTTCATGGTGTAGGCGGCTACCGTGATGGAGTAGGCGGTCTCAGGCTGCAGGTTTGTGATGACCATCTCCTGCAGGCAGGGATGGGGGGTAAGCGATGCAACTGGGGTTGAGACCGGCCCTGCCCACCCCCCCTCCCAGGGCCGGGGTCAAGCAAGGTGGACGTGGGGCCTGGTCTGCAGGCAGAGGCGCGTATCCGAGCTCATGCACAGACCCCAACACACCGCACGTCATGCGAAGACGGGCACATGAAGCCTGATACCCCATCACCTTCCACCTGGACCAGCGCTGTCCCCTCCACCTCCCATCCCCTGGCAAACACCCTTGCCCCCAGTCCGTCCTCCCCACAGAGGCCACCAGAGGGCGCCATGAGCACCCCAGTCAGGTCCCGCCCTGCTCTGCCCACAGCCCTCCAGGGCTCCCACCTCCCTGAGGTAGAAGCCCAAGTGGTTCACTACCTGCCCCCACCTCCTCCCGCTCTCCCCCTCGCTCACTCTGCTCCAGCCACGGGGCCTCCTCACTGCTCCAATATGCCAGGCACACTCCCACCCCAGGGCCTTTGCATGGGCTGTGCCCTCTGCCTCCACTACACCCTCTGGTGTGCTGGAGATGCCCTCTACCAGGCCAGAGAGCCAACAGTTAAATTCTCAGGAATTTTGCAAGCCAGTATTAAACACAGCCATTATCAGAAAGTAAATTATATAAACGTACTGATAAGTGAGAACAAAGATAATGAATACTCAAAACCCACCCTCTCCTAATTGTCTTACTACATTTCCCTGTAATCGATGCTCTGGAGGTGATTCTGTCTCCTGTCTAAGGCAGAAAGCTACAGGGTGATGAGCTACTCGAAATTGACACGGTGGGAGTATTCACATCCCAGAAAGAGGGGGAAGCTACAGATCAGGACTGCCCACCCCCCAACCCAGAGAGCTCATCAGTAAACCTTTACACCACCATCTAGACGCCGCCCCAGCCTCAGCCATCACTAGACATGTACAGTTGACCTTGGACAACGTGGGGGCCAGGGGCGCCGACCCCTGTGCAGTTGAAAATCTACACAGAACTTCTGACTTCCCCAAAAACTCAACTACTATTAGCCTCCTGTTGACCAGAAGTCTTACCAATAACATAATTGACAAATACATCGTTTGCACGTTATACGTGTTAAGATACCGTATTCTTATGGTAAAGCAGCTAAAGAAAAGAAAGAGGAGGTCAGGAGGAAGAGAAAGTACATTTACAACACCGTACTGTGTTTTCTCAAAAGTAAATGGGCAGGTAAGTGGACCTCCGCCGTTCAAACCCGTGCTGTCCAAGGGCCAAGTGTATTTGTGTCTTGTTCAGTTAGCTGTCCTCTCCCACACTAGACCGTGACCCCCAGGAGGGCGGGCTCAGGTCTGTCCTGGTCACCGCTCAGGAAATTAAGGCTTGTCCCACAAATGTCCGAGCCACCCAACCTTGCACACATTTCGGCATCCACCCTCACAGTCGCATGTGTGCCCAGGTCCCCACGCATGCACACCCACAAACACGGTCCAGCATGCCTGGGGGCTGGGGGGGGGGCCCAGGTCAGGAGCATGAGGAGGGGGACAGGGATGCACGAAGAGAGGGTCTCCTGCCCCTGAGCCTCACGTTCAGTCCCTCCCAGGGTCTTGGTGGGTGGAAGGGGCTGAGCTGGAGCCCTTCGTGGGAACTTACGCCTCCAGCCGGGGGTAGGGAAAAGGCAAAGCCTGTGTGAGTGAGTGAGTGAGGCTGGTGTCAGTTTAACATCAGACTTGGGGCTCTCAGAAGAGCCGCCCCTCTGTGTTAGGGCAGGAAGACAGCCCAGGGAGAGGCAGCAATTTGCCCCAAGTGCCACACAGCCAGCGGACTGCTTCAGGGCCTCCGGAGAAAGCTGGGGTGGGGGGGTGGGGCTGATGGAAACAGTCCTGCAGGCCTCCTTCCCCACCCACCCCAGGGCCCACTGACCCTCTCACCACTCAAGGGCCACGATGAAGTGGCTGCTTTGGCCAGAGAGAGAAACTTCGAGGTCAGAGAAGACCGAGACAGGTGTTAAAAGGGTCTGGCTGGGTTGGAAAGTGGCCCAGTTTGGATCTGCCAGGCCTGGGTCCAACAGGGGAGGTTGTGGGGTGCAGGGATGGGTTAGGGCTGCAGAAAAAGCTTGAGCGAAGGTGTGGCAGTGAAAACCAGAGCAAGGCTGGGGGCTGGGCAGGAGGGGCACCGTGTGAGCCGGGTGGGTCAAGGGCCCATCCAGGTAAGAGAGCTAATGTATACCCTCTGGGTCCAGGACCCCAGCAGGGCTCCTACGCCCATTTGCCTGATTGAAAACTGAGGCTACAAGCTCCAAGTAACCAGTAGGCATCTGCGGCCCAGGGGAGAAGATCCTCTTACAAGAGACGTGCAGGGTGGGGAGGGTGGGGTGTCACATCACTGCACGGCCCGTGGGAGAACACTGCAATGGCCGGGCAGGGGTGCTACTTACATATTCGGCTGTGTCGTCCGTCTCCCACTGAGCGTGGGAGGAGGTGGCAGGGGAGAGAGGAGTAGGTGAGCAGGTGGCCAGAGAGAGAGAGAGAGAGAGAGAAGCAGGGAGAAGGCAGGAGCGCAGGGTCTGGGTGCCGCCCCGCCCACCTGGAGCCCCGCCCACCCAGGCCCCGCCCCGGAACCCCGCCCACCTGGGCATCGGCCAGCATGATGTCCTTGATGCGCGGTGGCCCGCGGGCCTCGGCGCCCTCCATGCGTACGTAGTGGACCTGGTAGCCGCGGATCTGGCCGTGTTGCCGGCCGGGCGCGGGTGAGCGCCACAGCACGCGGATGGCCGTGGCGTTGAGCGCCTCCGCCTCCACCTTCCGCGGCGGCGCGCTGGGCACTGGCGGGGGCAGGGGAGGGGCGGGCAGGGCCGTTACTGGGGCGCCTGGCCCTGCCCCCGGGCAGCACCGCTGCCCGATGCCAGGGTGCCAAGTGGCTGCCGGTTAACGTGGTGGTCTGAGCGCTCACCACCAGCCGGGAGGGCATGCCTCCTTCATGGCTCCCGCAAGCCTGGGGGGGGGAGGGGGCCCAATGGTGTGCCCCACTTACAGACGGTCCACTGAGGCCCCCCAGAGCCTAAGCCACCTGCCCAGGGCCACATGACACGAGTGGGCCCTGCACGCCCCGTTCCATGGTCATTACCCACCTGCCTCCATCCTAACAGCATCCCTTCTGGGCAGGGGCTCTTATTCCCATCTTATGGATGGGGAAACAGGCCCGAGAGCTGGGCCCTCGATCGCATGGTTAGTAAGAAGCAAAGCCCTGGTCTGAACCCAGTCCGGCTGCATGTTCCCATGCATCCCAGTATGCGGCCAGCCCCACGGATCACAGCTCTCCCTACCCAGCCACACCCCACACTCTGGCATGAACAACTGCTCCATCTCTTCCCCACTCTTCTGACCCAATGTGGGGCTGCCGACCGGACCTTTTAGGCCATGGCTCGGAAGGCAAGCCGGGTTCCCAAGGCCAAGGAACTGCAGTTTTGTTGGAGAAGCTGCTTGCCTTCATTTCTCCCCATGCCCCAGCTTCTACCAACTGACTCCAGACCAGAGCCTCACCTCACTTTGCAGCTCAAAACTTTCTAGCTGGAAAGTCAGCCAACAGCGGGGAGGCTGACACTGCAGAAACTGGCCACTGCTACAAATCGGGCTCCGTGCCCCAGAAGCTGGTTGTTAAACCTCACCAGCGCGCTGCAGCCCACCTACTTGCCAGATAGGATGGCTCGGACCGAGGACGCTGCAGATCCCGGCTTATCCCCAGAGTCTAAAAGCTAGGTTTCTGGGGTCAAGGACCCCACGTTTGTTGCAAGTGCTGCTGGCCGTTTCCCACACTGTTTCCATTCTTTCCACCATCGGACCAAAACATATACGGGCTGCCAGCTTAACTTCCCAGGCACAAGGCTCGGGAGAAAATACTGCCCGGAAGGTCTAGGATGGAGCATTCCAGGATCAAGGAGCCCAGGATTCCGTGGGGAGGCTGCTTGCTTCATGTCTCGCCCTCCAGATTGTGGCTTCTACCTTTTGACCACCAGCCAGCCCCGTTTTGCAGAGCCAGAAGGTGCCGAGGCGCGGGGCGGGCTGGGGCCTGCGGGGTCCCCGGCTGGGGCCGGTGCTTACCGTCCTCGTCGGTGCGGATGACCACGGGCGAGCTCTCGGGCCCTGGTCCCACCTCTGTGTGAGCGACAGTCGTGATGCGGTACTCGGTCCACTTGTCCAGCGCCTCCAGCAGGATCTGAGTGGTGGTCGGGGGGATGCCGTTCACCTCCTTGGGTTGCGGATCCTCCGAGCCCAGCGGTCGGTAGCGGACGCTATAGCTCACCAGGGCCCCGTTGTGCGTTTCCGGCGGCGGTGGGCGCCAACTTACCAAAATGGCCGTGGAGCGCGTGCTGACACATTTAACGTCTTGAGGGGGGGCTGACGGTTCTATTGGAGGGGG